AGGTGAGCAAATCAAATTGAGGCACTTATCTCATAAAGGAGTTTCTTAGCTATGATGACAGCTGATTCTTTTCTAGTGGTGAATTCCTCAGTTCACCTGGTGAATGTGTCTATGAGAACTAAGAGATATTTGTTCCTCCATCCACCTGGGCCCATTTCAGTAAAGTCTTTCTCCCATTGGTCTCTAGGGATAAGTACTCTTTGTTTCATTTGAGTATCTGTGGAAGCCAGCAATGTGGGACTTTTGGCTAACCTCTTTAGCCAGGCAATATAATTTGGGGATGAAGTATAGAATAACTTGGATAATTAGGTTTCTCCTAAGTGAGAAGCCTGATAGGTTTCCTGGATGAGTTAAGGTCCTAACAACCATGGGATGAGAATTCACCCATCTGGTGAAGTCTGCCAGCCTTCCGGACAGAGTTGGGCTTCTAAGATCTTGGCTAGTCTCAAGTCTGAATCTGAATAAGATGGCTTGGGTAGCACAGGTGGCAGGAGAGCTGAGAGGAGCATTATAGGCCTCACTGATTTTAGTGCAATGTCTTTGCTTATCTTATTGGTGAGGGTATTTCCTTCAGCTTTTGTGGTGTCTTCTCTTGATGTCCTAAACAGTGAACAATGGCAAACTTTTGTGGCATCCACGTGGCAGCCATGAGGTCTTAGATCTCAGTAACATTCTTGATCTTTGTTTGTGCTGAGGTTAACAGTCCTATTTCTTGATAAATGTCTCTATGAACATGTATGGTAGCAAAAACAAACCAATAATCTGTATAATAATTTGTAGATTTATTTTATCAATGTCTTCAGGCTTGAGTAAGTCTATTGGTTCTGCCTGCTGAGTTGAAATTTCCAACCCTCCAGTTTGGGACCGTATCACCTCAGTTTCAGTGGTCAGCAGCACAGCTCTTGCCTCTTGACTGCCTTGGTGGAGGTAACTGCTACCATCTGTGGAAAGGGTGACTTCAGGCTGGGCAAGCAGACATCTGTCAGGTCAGCTCACAGGCTTGAGACTGAGTCAATAATGTCCACACAATTGCGTGTCAGCATGGAGTGATCATTGTCTGGCAGGAGAGTCACTAAATTGAGGGCAGAAGTAGACAGGAACTCGATGCAGTCAGGATCCAGTAAAAGGGCTTGATATTGGACTGAGTTTTGGAAAGCCATCTTCCAGTGTCCTAGGTACTGGGTTAAGACCCCTTTTGTGATCCCATGACTGTCAGTGACATCCACAAGGGAAGATTTGGCTAAGTCAGAGAGAGCAAGGGCTTGGACATTCAGGAGATCCAATTTTAATTTATTAAAAGCTTTTTCCTCTAGCTTAGTACAGGTTAAAGTCCAGATGGATCCCCTGCAGTAGTGGTGTAGAGTGTGATTCAGTCTAGCAAAACCCCAGATACACATCCATCAGTAAACCAAGGCACCTAGAAATTCTTTAATTTGATGCTTGGTCTTTGAGGAAGGGAATTTTAAGACAGCCTCAGTCCATTTGTCTGACAGTTCATTTTTCACCTTGGAATACATATCCCAGATAAATGATTTTGAACAGGCAGAGCTGTGCCTTTTCGGTAAGGACTGAATAATGCAGTTTGTCTCAGTCTTTCAAGAGGGGTTCTGTGGATCCAGACAAGAGGGCAAACATTCAGGGGCCAGTAGTAAATCATCAACATATTGAAGCACTGTGATGGATGTGTGTTCTTACTGAAAATATTAGAGGTCCCTGCTCAGAGTCTCACTGAATAGAGTTGGTGCAAATTTGCACCCCTGGAGTAAACATGTCCAGGTCCATTGTCCTGATTCTCCAATCTTAATGTCTGTGCATTCAAAGGCAAAGAGGGTTTGGCTCACCAGAATCAGTGGTAGGGAGAAGAAGCCATCCTTCCTGTCCAATGAAGAGTAATAAGTATGCATAGGAGGCAGCAAACAGAGCAAAGTATATGGATTAGGAACAGTGGGGTGCAGAGTCATGAATTTTATTTACCTCTTGGAGGTTTTGGACAAGCCTTTTGTTGGAAGTCTGAGGCTTCTGGATGGGTAGCAAAGGCATGTCCCAGACTGACTTACAACTTATTGGGATATTTGTCTCTTTCAGCTTTTAGTTTTGCATGGAAAATTCTTCCTTGGCCTGCAAGCTGAGTGAATATTGGGGGACAACTATTGAGGTGTTCCCAGGATTAAGGGTGACTACAGTCAGAGTTTGGTTGATTATGAGAACCAGTGCATTGCATTCTTCCCAGACCCTAGGGATCTCCTTTTCCAAGTTTTGTAGGAACAAACTTGGAGGAGTGTCTAGCAGAAGAGAGTCCATCAGGACAAAAATCATCCTTCGACCAGGGGGAAAATAAACAGTATAGCAGGAAGAGGAGAGATAGTCACCTCTGAGCTCACTTCTTTTTGATCTATGCTTTTTCCATGAAACTCAAGAGTCAATGAGATGTCCCTCATAAGTGATTTGAGTCTGCAACTTGCAGGGCAAGTCTTGTCTGATCAGGGAGTAAGGACATTCTGGCATAACAAGAAAAACATGGGTTAGAAACCCTCTGATCAAGTCCATAATACTGGTATGAGTCTATGGGTAAGCCTTTATTTTTCCAGTTGCTCCTTAAATGCTTGTACTGGTCTAGGACAGGGAACACACAGGCTGTTGCAGGACTGAATAACTCATTCAGTGTCAAACAAAAGTTGATCATTTGTCCCCCGCAGTGAAACTGAAGAACGGTTCTTTGGGGCCAAAGGAACACTGATTGACTCAGTCTTGAATTGAGACTTTTGTAGTGGAGGTGGTCTTTTTCTGGAGCTCTGGACAGTGCTTTACCCAGTGGCCCTCTTTCTTATAAAAGGCACGCTGGTTTTTGGCTAGTGGAGCCCTTTTAGACTTAGGATGCTCCCCCTGCTCACATTGAGTCTTGTGATTTTCCTTTTCTCCTAGGGCAGGAAGGACTTGTGCTGCCATTGTTTTCTTTAAGTTCCACGAATCTTCTCAGTTGTTAAAGACATTTGGTCTATCTCCACTATCTCTGAGAGTGACTAACATTCTAAATCTTTCGGGACTTTGAAGATTTTTTCTAATATCTGGGGCCAAGTGGGAGACAAATGTGATATTTAGGGTGTATTTATATCTATGTGCCTCTGGATCAATAGGTGTATAAATATAATACGTCCCTAGGATGCTCTCCAAGAACACAGATGAAGCCTCCTAGGATCCCTATCTTACCTCTGGAAACCTTGACAAATTAATTGGCTTCTGAGCAGCTCCTTTTAAAGGACCAGGAAAGTCTGGCAATGCCATGCATTACTTTGTTCATTGTTAGGTTTCCAAAAGGGATGAGTGAGGAGAAACATGAGGTCCAATCAAGCTGAGTGGAAATTAGAGTGGCCATCTCGTCCTGGGACCAGGCTGCATTCCAGGTTGCAGATGCATTTTCATTCCGCAGAAGTGAAAATAATCTGGAGTAGATGTTGGCAATTGTGTCAAGCGGGCTGATGTATCAAAATGCACAATGAGGGAGATGAGTCCTTGCTGGTTTTGAGAGAATAAGAAATTTTTAGTGTTTCCAGCTCTAAAGATCACTGGTGGAGAAGGAGACACAGAAAAGGTCTGCAGAACCCTCCCCAGAGACAGCCTCACATAGCAGAAATAGAGGAGCCAGGTGTTCAGAAGAGGAGTCTGGAGAAGAGGGTCCTAGGGTGGAAACCCTAGAAAAGGGGTGCCACTATGGATCTGTGATGGACTCAGTAGGTAAGGGGAGTTGAATTCTGCAAAGGCAGAGTGGTAAGGAGAGTGTGCAGAGCAGAAAGAGATTGGGGTGAGGAGTAGGGAGAAGGGGGAATAACTTTGTAAAATTTGGAAAAGGCATGTATTGTGACTGCAACCTTAGCATGGTGTTTGTGATGGTAGAAGGGGACCCACTTGGGATGTCCAGAACCAAGTCAATCCAGGTTTGTATATAAACAAGTTGAGATGTTCAGGTGTCCTAAGATAACCTGATGCAACTGCTGACACAAAGAGAGGTTAAAAGTGCCTTCTGGGGGCCAAGAGAATGGAAAGCAGGCCATTCAAATTCACAAAGAGTTTACCGTAAGAAGAGGTTTTCTGGCCAAATTCCAGAAAACAGGTTAAGTATATATTGCAGGATACAGAAAGCAGAAGCAGACTGACCCACTGACTCATATAACAAACACTAAATCAGTGACAAACAATATTAATGAAACAAAGAGAGAGACTAAGACACTCTGTAAACTGGCACCAGTAACTAATTTGACCCTATGGCTGAAAATTTCCAGACCAATGTCTTGATCTGGGAATGAATCCTGGAGATTTCAATGTTGCATCCAGCAACTCCAAAGATTCCCATGGGGCATCCCAATAATCTTTAACAATTACTGGCAGGCATTTGAATGGCTTGTTCCAAATTTAGCATCCAGGATTTTGGTTTCTCTTTGACACAGATTCCTCAGTGGTGGGGAACTTCCCTCTGCAGGCACCCTGAGGAGTAATTGCAACAAGAGACACTTGGATCATATAAATTCTTAAATTGGAAACCTGAGTGATGCCCAAATTATGTGGCTTTGTGCATAATTCAGGAATCCAAGCAGCCTAATTCACGCATTTGGAATTTTATTAGGTGAGCTCAGCAACAACACACATATAGATTCTGTTTCAGAATCCCATGTAGTGCTGCTGAACGGGAAGGTTACAAAGCTGTTAAAACGAAAAGAACATCCTATTGGAAAGAGCTTAGTTAGAATCCTAAATTAATTTTTGGTTGACATCTTTATCCTACTTCTTGTTGAGCAGTTAATTTTTCTCTTATGGGTGTAGTACATTTGCTTTTCTCATATGATTGTACTCAAAGTAATTATTCCAAGTCTGGAGCAAATAGAGCACACTAATCAAATAAAGGGCACAAGATTGCATCAGTCATGCCAAGCTACGACAATATTCTAGCAAATATTGACAAATAAATTTATAAATAATTGCTTTTTTAATCTATATAACAGGCTCTCCACTTTGTGACTGAAAAACTGCCCTACTCCTCTTGGAGTTGTTGACAGGTGTGAAAACTCTACCATCTGGGGAAGAAAGAAATCTTTGCCTTGTGACTTGTGAAACTTCCTTTCACTTTCACACGACTAATTTCAACGGTTGTTCAGACTCCAGCCCCAGCAGAAATGTCGAGTGGGCCAGTAGTGGACAGCAGACACACCACAGACATCAAAGTAGTGAACTTCTCCTATCAGTGGACCATCAGTAACTTTAGCTTTTGCACAAAGCAAATAGGTAAATGCATTGAAAGTTCAACTTTTTCATCACAGCAAAATGATAAACTGAAATGGGGCTTACGACTGTACCCAAAAGGGATCGATGAAGAAAGCAAAGATTACCTTTCCCTATATCTCAAATTGATCCAAAGTCCAACGAGAGAAGTGCTGGCAAAATTTAAATTTTACATTCTGAATGCCAACGGAGAGAAAACCAAAGAGAAGGCTAGTCACCAACCATATCGATTTGTGCAAGGCAGGTACTGGGGATTCAAACATTTCATTCTTAGGCATTTTATTTTCAATGCAACCACTGACCTTCTCCCTGATGACAGGCTTACTTTCTTTTGTGAGGTTAAAGTGGCACAATATTCCAGCAATATTTCCTGCCAAAATACCATGAATACTCTGAAGGTTCCAGAGTGCTGTTTGGCAGAGGACCTAGGAAGTCTGTGGAAGAGTTCCTGGTTCACAGATTGTTGTGTGTGTGTGGCTGGCCAGGAATTCCAGGCTCACAAAGCCATCTTAGCAGCTCGTTCTCAAGTTTTCCATGCCATGTTTCAACATGAAATGCAAGAGAGCAAAACTAATCGAATAGAAATCAAGGATATGGAACCTGAAGTTTTTAAGGAACTGATGTTCTTCATCTATACTGGAAAGGCACCAAACCTCAGTGCAATGGCACCTGATCTGCTGGCAGCTGCAGACAAGTATGGCCTACATCTCCTGAAGCTCCTATGTGAGATCGACCTCTGCAAAAACTTTCCCAAAGAGAATGCGGTGGAAATCCTCATTTTTGCAGACCTCTATAGTGCACATCTGTTGAAAACCTTTGCAATGCATTTCATTAACTATCATATTTCAGACATCCGGGAGACCTCCAAGTGGAAGGCAATGGTTCAGTCACACCCTCACTTGGTTGCTGAAGTGGATCGCTCTAGGACTTCCATGCAGTGTAATTGCATACACCCCAATGCAATTGTCTGAGGCAGTATTAAGATGCCACCTCGCCCAAGGCTCCATGTATCTTCCCAAACCTGTGGCTTCCTTTGCTAGCTCTTAACCCTGATTACGCCGGGCAATCTGCTGAACTTTCACCTGCTATGAAGAAACACTGAAGTATCCCTCTCTAGGGACAGATGGAACCCCCTCTTATGCTCATCAAAAGGGGGTAAGGCTTTTACATTTTAAGAGAAGTTTAATTTGGCAATGTCCTGAGAGTATAATTTATAGACCATCAGAAATATGTCTTTTATAATACCGTACCCACTGAATGTTTCAATGCTAAATTCAAATTAACACCAAAACACCTAGCAGGCAGATATACAAACATATGGAGTGAAGCTGCACTCAGGGAAGGGATCATAGATACACTCAGAATCAGCTACCGCTGGGCCCTCACTGCTCAAAGTGGCTTTTATCTTTTTGTCTTTTTTCCTAAATAAAATTTCATCTTAGTTTGCACAATTGTTTGACTCCTTGCCCTTTTTCTACATCAGATATTCAAAAGCCTGAGTAGTTTTGGAGGTGGGCTTATGACTCCAATGCCACCCAGGGTTAGAGCACCTTAGGTTTATAATGGCACTAAGCAATTTTTGGGATGGGAGTAAAGAGGACCCAGAACTTGGTCATTGTGACCTTAGGAAAACAGTGATGAATCCCTTTGCTCACTGGCCTGGAACTGGCCTGCCTTTTAAGCACTAGTCTCTACAGCCCAGCAGGGGTAGTGCAAAATACTCTGTCTTAGATGCAGCACAGTAATCATGAAGCTCCTGGAGCAAGAAATAGGGAAAAATGTTCAGATTTAATAAAATGAAAAACAAAGGTGGAAAATGCAGAATCAATGTGTGTATTCCAGGGGATTTCATGTTGAGGGAATCAAATCTCCATCCTTACAACTGTGGTAAATCATGCAAATTTGCAAAGATGCTTCATCGCTTTACAGGTCTCAAAAAAAGCTCTCTCATTGCTTGCACTTACTGTTTGTAAGAACACAAGACACCATAAAATCCTCTCCTGAAAGTTAGGAGTAGAGGAAAAAAGAGGCAGGAGGAGATTGCATTGAAAAGGCTTCACTTCCGAAAATCACTCTTGGTGTTCGTTTGGAGCCACTCAGACACTTTCAAAGATAAGAGGCATCTAAGAGCACCAAGGATATGAATTCACTTGTCCAGACCAAGTGCACAGTGGGATATAGTTATTTAATTCTGACTTAGCACAAGTGAACACTCATTGCTTGGTTATGGCACTGTGTAAGAATGAAAATATGAAAAAAACACCTGTGTAAGAATTATACAGTAAAAATGCAGGAGGTTTTAAGTATCTCTAATGATTTTTGTTTATGCTTTTGTTATTGTAGGACAGGGTTTTGCAGTACCAAGGGCTTGCCAGGTAAGCTTTTGTGCAGCTGAACTAAATTACTGGCTGTTGCCAAGCTTTTACCTACATGTGTCTCTGATCCTTGCAACCTCACTCATGAAAATTTCTGTACAGCCACTCAAGCAGCTTGAAAGTTTTTAAAATGAAAAAATACTTCACTCAGAGTTCATATATCTTGAAAGGAACTATAGTTTTACGTATTGTGGGGAAAAAGTGTTATGTTACTTTCCCCCTTTAGGCTGTATTTTTTTGTACCAGGAATGGAACTCAACAACATGTGTTTTCAAGGTAGGTGCTTATTCTGCTGAGCTAAATCCCTGCCCCCCCCCCTTTAGTTTTATTTCACTTCCATTCTCTCCTCCCCTTAAACAAAACAAAACAAAACAAAAAGTGCAAAATTGGAAATTCTTTATTACATTCTGTGTGAAAAGTAGTACAACACATATTTCTCAGCTCTCCATACCTGACTTACTGCTTGTGGAGGTTCATCCCAGTTTCTTCTGATTAGCTCATCTTCCTACATGAGAAAACACCCAAATTTATTATTTTTCCTTTTTGAAAACATAAATAATAAATATTTTGTAAGAAATGAATCTATAATTTTGAAATTACACATTTCTTCACTAAATCAAATATAAAATAATATTCAAAGTGCAATAAGAAATGTAGCAGAGTGGATTAAAGGCTAAAATATTGCAGAACAAGGATCTAATGCCACAGCTTCTCAGAGTACAAATCTGTCTCACAGTGATTTAGTGTAGGTGAATTTTTGAGATGGAGTTTATATTGAAAGTATAAATTTACAAAAAAACAAAAGTATGTTCGTTAAATTCTAGACAGAAACCAGGCAAGGACAGAAGGTTACGTGGTTGAAGGGTCACATTCAGATATGGGGGCTAAATGGACTCTCTTACAATAATGGGAGGCAAGCTGTTGAGCATCAGCAGATGGGCTGGTGTATATTTGGTCATACACCAGGTCATCAGCCTGATGTCATAGTTCTGGAATGTTTATGGCTGAGGGGCAGACCCATCCCCAGGGAAAAAATACTTCTCTCTGTGTAGTGGTCCCAATCTTAAAAGGATTAATGCCTGTAAAACATTAAGAGAAAATTATTTTGAAAACAACACCTGTTTGTTTGCTCATGTATAACTAACAATATGACAGAAGATGAACAGGCATTTCTCATAATTTATAGTCCTTTAAAGCAAGGAAGTTACCAACTGCACTTGGGAAGCCTCTAATGATCTGATCAAATCCCCTGGAAGTTCCCCTAAAGCCCCAACTTATCTGTGTCATCAAAAGATGCATGCTGCAAATCCTCAAACTCCTAATGAAGACATTCTGTCATATTTTCAACATCTATGTGAATAAGACTATCATATAAACAAATGAACTATGCAGGAGGTCCATGTGTTAGAAGCATTAGCAGTATATTTAGAAACAGACAGATTAAGTGATCCATTCTCTTTCCTTTATCCAACTAAAAACACTACTTGTGTGATTATGTTTATCATTAGTTCATATTTAGTTTACAGTTATAGTCACTGTAAGGTGGCACTTTATTGACAACAATAAGGCATGGTATAGGATCACCCTGGAGTTAGAGGTGTCTGACCACCGTGGGAGACACCTGTGATCAAATGTATCTGGCAACCACAGCAGGCATGTGAATGAGAGGGATCTGACCCTTATGGGAGACAGCTGGATCTGAATTCTTATGTACTGTATGCTGGATACAATGAAGGTTCCATTCCTCTTCCTTCTCCCTTGCACTTTCAATTCAGCCTATTCTTGGTGCTGACATTGTGTGTTCTCAATAAACAACAACTTATTACTAAGCATGTGCATATGCCTGGAAATTCTACACAAGAATCTGAACTTTTTTGGGCCCATTCAAATGAAATACAACCCTAGGTCTGTGTTAGAGGCAAAAGAAATTTCCCACCTTCCATCAGTCATGCCAGAAGCCTGGCTTTCCAGCCATTTCTGCACAAACAGAGTTACATGGAAAACTGTTCAAATTCACCTTCAAGATTGACATTTATTCATTTTTCTGGGTAGTGTAAATTTCCTTCCAACATTAAATTCAACTTTAAATGCAGTGGTTCATTACTGTAAAAAGAGCTATACGGAAGAAACATTTCATGTTGTACATGGTTTCTATTTGTATTTGCCTTGCACAAAAAATTACCTTTGGAATGTTGAAATATCAAAATCTATAGAACCGAAGTATATCTAATAGCTCATATTTGAAGGACTGTCCCAGATCTAAAAATAACTAAGGGCAGGTGGAAAATATGCAACTTGGAGATTGTATTGATATGAAAGTTGAAGATGATGCTGATTGGTGCTATTACAATTATGAAATAAGGTGTTAAGTCTGCTAAAAGAGAACAATTTGGACAGATTTTTTTGTTCTTTCTCTCTCTCTCTCTTTTTTTTTTTTTTTTTTTTTTTTTTTTTTTTGTCTTTTCATTTTCATCGGTACCAGGGATTGAACTCACCACTGCCCGCCTGCAAGGCCGGCGCTTATGGTGCTGAGCTAAATACCCAGCCCCTGGACAGATTTCTTATCATGTCCACATAAATATATCAGGTTTCATGGAATTTGATGAGAACACTGCTGGTGTTTAATATACTGGTCATTATCTCAGTGATAGAGCCTGTAAGATGTCATTATGGTGTGATTTAGAAATATTGACCCATATATCTCTGTGACTCAGAAATAAAGACACTAAACATGCAAATGAAAATGAGATTAAAATACTTGGGGAGCAGTTTTGCATTCACACATATTTATACATTGTGTGTAGGACACTACCATACTTGTCTTTCTGAGCTGAAAATGTAGTCAACTAAGCATTTTCTCCAAAAAAGAGAAAATCCTTCTCTATGCCAGTGCACTCCAGGAGCCCACGCAAGATTTTCAAGGGTGAGGTCACAAGGATAAAGAATTCACATGTGCAGTCTATCTGAAATAAATGTAAGCTGCATGGAACAAAGAAGAGGGCCATAGCAAAAGTCTGCTTTGCATCTTTACAATCTTTATTGTATGACTCTTATAGAGCTTATTATCTTATATTTACATTCTTAATTGTATGATTCTTATACAGCTTCTTATCTTATATTTACATTCTTGCATGCTGCATTAACCAGTGCATGTGTCTTATTCTGTACTATCATTGTTATGTAACTGTATCCCTCTTATCCTGGGCTGCACATCGGAGTTCAAATCCTCAGGTGTCCTTAGATCTCCCCAGCCTTAAAGCAAACTTAGTGGATTCCCCAATCCTTCTCCTCTAAGGTCTGGGTCATATGTATGTAACTTTTGATTTTTAACTGGGCACAATGACCTCCTCATGTTTTCATTAACCAACAAAGAACTATATGGTTTTATGAAACCCCTTCTTTCATTTGAACAGGTACATCCAGAAGCAACAACCTAGGCTGGCACTTAGCATTCAAAAATTGAGCTATATTTTGAGTGAGGACTTCAACCTGGAGGGCTAAGTTTATGGTCCTTGCCCCTGGACAGATGCTTATATCTTCAGAAGTCAGTATTTTTCCTCAGGCATCCCACCACTGTAATGCCTTTGTCCAGGCAACTGTTAAGACCCTTCCCAATGAGAGGCAGGGTTTATGTCTTGATTCTCAATAGCCTAGCCTCAGCTTTTTGGCCATGCTGTCATATGTCTTGCCATATCTTGGCACAACACAAGAGATCATGCCCCATCTATTACTCCTGAGCTTCTGAAGTGTCAGACCACTGCAAATAAAACAAATATATGTGCACAAATGTAGGGAAACTCCTTCATGAATCTCACATGGCCACACTGCCTGAAACTCTTCCCATGGGTTTGAAGTGAGTTTTTTGTTTTTAACTGGAGTGCCTCTGTAATGAACTACACAGTGGCTTCTGCTGGCTGTGGGACTGGGACATGTCTACACCCATTAGGAAATCCTACATTAGCTTTAAGTCTCTCATTCCCTTTTGAATACAGATCAGAAGTCATGTCCTGTAATTCATCGTCCCAGATGAATTCCTGGGCCATGTAAGTTAGAGGGCCC